TTATTAGAAGTTATCAGCATATTAAATAAGAAATCAAATATTGCAAAACACAAGAATTAAAGTATTCTGATGCTGTTAGGTTTTCACTAGTACTTTTTAGGATCTTTTAGCATCCTGTTAATAATATGAAGATCGTATTTTATGTCAAACGCAAATCAATTGAGACAATATTTCATTTCCAAGATAAGAAATCTTAGTCAACAAGACACTTATAGTATATAACTATATATCAACTTGTAAATTCGTTAGTCTCCATCTCAATCCCTCGCTGTTGAGGCGGGATGAATAAATCGTGACGTCAGTGAGGCGCGGATCAAAGATCGCCTTGCTCCAACTCACTGTTCCTATGTTTATATGTATATGTTATACCACTACGAGGGTTGCCACAACAAACAAATTAAAAATTAATTTTATTATTAATAAATTAAGTCTTATCTTTATTTTTGTACTATGTGATTGAATATATATAATATATATAACTAATATTTCGCTCTACTCTTATATTAATAAGTTACAGGATTTACTTATTATTTCAGCATATTTTTTCGTTCACTACACTAAATCATCAGAATAATAATATACGAAGGTATGACCAATTTACAACAATCAGATTAAAATACAGTTTCGAAGAAATATGTTCACAGTGATTTTAAGATATTTAGGTTTTTATAACGTTTTCCTTGTGTATTCTTAGAAACTTAGCAGCCCTGTGCCGAAGGCAATGTCCTTTGTAGAACGGAGCACAGAACAACATTGTGATGATTTATCTGGCATTTGCAACCAGCGAAAATGCCTCTTTCCGTCTCGGGTATGCTTGGAATATTAGCTTTTTACTTGGCTTAGCTTTACTGTTACAAAGTTTTGTTTTGTTACTGTTGCATATTGCGTACAAACATAAATGCAGTAGATTGAAAAGCCTAACTGAAAAAAATGAATTATTAAAAGCTTCAGTCAGAAATATTATATTTAATTTAATATAAAATAGTATAATTAGTAAATTTGAAATTCAAAGAAGTACAAGAAGAATAAAGACTAAGAAAGAAAATTTTTCGTGCTATATATCTTAGAAAATATTTGGTTATCATAATTAAAAAATAATTTGACAATAACAACAAATTAAGTAAGACTTTGAGTCACTTAAGTTACTTTTTACTATAAGGGCATGAAATCACAATTTTTTTGGTGCCTAATTATCCAGAGATCTATAAAGATCCAAAAACAATTCAACAATATACACTTTCCAGATTACAAGTTCTATTTTAAAATGGCCGCCCGAACATAGCCGAGCATTCACGACAAACGACGAGTTACGACGCAATAAACTCCACTGTCGCTGACGTGAGGTTACGGAGCCCTTAAGAGGCGTAATGGCGATTTAATTGATATCAACTTAATACTTCATAACGTAGTTGATCTCTATACAAAATGTCGTAGAAATCGATAACATCGTCATTTGTCGATTGTTAATCAAATACTTAATTAATTTTACAGTATAAGGAACAAAAGCTTTTTTGAAAAAAACTTCAAAACAACACCTTTTTTTTCAAAAGAATTCCATAACCAAATCAGGAAATTATTAAAAACTAAGTATGCTATATATGCTGAGTGATGTAATGATTGTTTTGACAAATAATTAGTTTGTATTAAATGCAAGCTTTTTTCCTTTCATAATTAATTTTATTTTGTCACTCTATAATTCTAAGATTAATCCTAGAATTAATATTAATTAGTTGCGTATGCTTTTATGCGTGCATTGTTTAAATTTAAAACTAATCTGATTGTACGAACAATTAAAAACTTTAAAATGTAAATTAAAAACCTTTGCTTACGGGTTGCGAACAAAAAAGATTACGATCACGGTGGCCTTATCTTTTGGAAATAAAACAATTTGTACCACGAATTAGTTTGTTTGCTTATTTTAAATAAATTTAACACAGTAAGTAATTGTTAAATGTATGACGCATAACATAGTGTTGCTACTTTATTTAATTAAATAAAAACAAATCAGTGTAAAATGCAAGTGCAAAATATTTATTAATATTTGAAATATCACGAATTTTGGGCAAACAGTAGGTAATTTATAATTTGTATCATAATATACATAATCAAAATTACACAATAACGATACATTCATCCACAATAATTTGTAAGTAAGTATCTTTATTTATTGTTTCCCAATTTGTTTATGACGCATAATGCGGGCAAAAAATTTATTATCAATTAAATTTATTTCTTACCAAACCCTGTAAGCTTTCAATTGAACCAACACTAGTCTCTGACCAGTCCACCAGCAGCTATGATACTTGTTCTATAAATTACCTTCTTACCTGTCAGTATCTCTTATAATTCACAAACGCACCTTTTTAATATTCCAATCCACTGGGGCCACATTAATCAAAGGCACTGTGGAACTGGTTTCTTACAAAGGCGGGCAGGTTTAATACAAAGTTAAATAAAATAATAAATAAACAAGAACATTCCGTGAGATTTATTTCGGAGAAAAAAGCGAGGTAAGTTAAGAGCCAGAGCTTGTCGCAGTGTGTTTATAGTCGGCCTCAAGTCGGCTCACAATGTACGCCCTTAATTAATGCTATGTCGTTCTTTTTCGAGATATATTACACTCGAACCATCGTATATTTATAGTTTTTTTGTGTCCGAGTCAAGAACAAAATAAAGTCATTGGTATCTACTTTTAAGTGAGTTTTCTACAATTAAGACAAACTTAATTAGACATCATAACAATTAACTCAATGCATACAAAGAAAACGTTTAAAATCAAATGCAAATTATCATGTCGTATTTGGAGTACTTTGAGATTCGTATCACGAAAAACTTTGTCGAAGATAACAGCTTTTACAGGTACGACGTATCGTATCAGTGACAAACCGCCCCGTCTCAACAATACAACAAAGAATAATGGAACCCAGCTGACGGGAGGTGCTTTAACGCCCGTTGTCATGGCAACCGTGTGAAGGGTGGCCAACCTGCTTCGCTAACATATTGCTGCCACCGTCAGGAAACAACTGATGTCACTCCTATGATATTCCCATTTAGTCTTTATTTGGATAGGCGGAAGGATCACTTTCAAATGACACACAATACTATTTACGATCTTTCTCCTTGATTGCACTATCGGGACTCGTGTATTGTATTTTGGGTTCCATCTTTGCTTTTTAAAATTAGAATAGCTATGTCTATCTCTTTCACGCACACCATCCGCAATGTTCGCTCTCTTCTAATCTCAGTCACATAATTACATCATTTCCTATTTATGACATTTTAAGCAGTTTTAAGTTTTTGTCGAAATTAGCGCCAACTGTAAAAATAGTGCCGCTATAAAATGCAGTTATAGTAATTTATGGCCGATATAAAATTTCAGAGTAGCTTTCGTACGAGCCGCTCAAATCGTTTAGGACACTAAAATTTAAATTTAGTTAACATGTTAGCAACGTTGTAAATTAGGCGAATTGCGAATCAATTTTAAAGCTCAATGTGACCGAAATATTTTATTCTTATCCCGATTAAACATCGTTAAGATGGCTTTATGTATACTAATCCTTTTTATCCAGCATTAGACATTAATAGTGCGGCTTTACATCCATAAAACAACTATAACCTTGTAAGCAATCTGAATAGGAAATCGATTTATTACTCCAATTAGATTTACGCTTAGTACGCGAATTATATTTTAATACATGTTATTTTATGCACAGACAAATGTCTGTTCCTAATGAGTATATTTTAAAGGTAGCCATCAACGTCGCTCGTAATTCACTGCTTTGTTTTTTTTTGTATTCAAGTAATTTAAATACTATAACATGTAAAAATGTTATTTCGTATTAAATTTTATAACATAACTGTCTATAATAAAGAATGTAATTGCATTTTAGAAATAAATAACAGCTGCTTACAATGTCATTATATTAAAAAATATATTCAACCAAAAACAATCGCTGCTGTTTTATCGCAATAAGGCCAATCGTTTATAGACGTAGAAAACAAAATACTAACATTTACATCTGTTCAAGAGATACATACTCGTATGTAGGTATACTAAAAGCGGGGTCCAGGTAACTAAGGGCAAGTCTACACGGCTACATTCCCGCGGTCGCCGTTGGTCCGCTATCAATTTTATACACGTCGGGAAGGCTATTTATCTTACCTTATTTATTACCTGGCTCGAAAACCAGTCCTGGGTCCGGCGTCTGAGCCACCATCACGGCATTTACCCGTCCCACATAAACACGTCCTCGCTGTATGTGTGAAACAAGATCACATTCTAGAGCCTTAGATAAACTTTCGATTTAAAACACGTATTTTTAATGGGTCCGAATGTTATTTGACCTATTGTATTTTTAAGTTAATTGAAATAGAGGTTCAACTTTCACGAATTCCTCGAAAATGCCTCGATGAACATAATAGAGTCACCTTACAAAGCATTAGAAAGTTGCGCAACCCTTCCTTACTCAACCCTTTTTTGTGATTTTTTTTAGAAAACGTTTCATTGTTACAGCGAAAGCTATTAACGGGCCTTAACCCATTCTGTTACTTTTTTATTCAGTACGGAATTTTGTTTTTTTAAATAGCGCTAAAGAAAGTTAAGTCTTTTTCAGTAACCAAGTCAAAAATGCTTAAGATTGTCTTCGTGGTATTGTAATCAAATATATGTGTTCATGTATTCGATACAGTTATAGATTTAGAAAATGTATTGTCAGTAGCAAAAGGGATTTAAAATTAACTTTAGTACCGCAATAAAATTTTAATGGCCCATTAAAATCTTAGATGATATAAAGTGAAATTTAATGGCATGCATGGAGGTTTTGCGCTGCGAATTCAAAACATGTGTCTCTTTGAATGATATATGGAACGTAAAAGTGAAATTAAACTTACTTTAATTACTAACAACCATTTTGTGAAGGTTGTTTACGATTACATCATTAAGTTTAATTCATATTAAATATTTGAATGGTAATTTAATTAAATTTATTTTTTGCTTTCAGGTCCGAATGGCTGCCCACGACGACGAGGCCGACAAACGTACACAAGGTTCCAGACATTAGAACTGGAAAAGGAATTCCATTTCAACCACTACCTGACGCGTCGACGCAGGATAGAGATCGCGCACGCCTTGTGCCTCACAGAGAGGCAGATCAAGATTTGGTTCCAAAATCGACGCATGAAACTCAAGAAAGAGTTGCGCGCAGTGAAAGAGATCAACGAGCAGGCGCGCAGGGAGCGCGAGGAACAGGACAGAATGAAGCAACAGCAGCAAGAGAAGCAGGCGAAGCTGGAGGGGCAGCATCACGGCCACCACGTGACCCACCATCACGACCCAATGAAGATGCCCATCGATAAGGGCTCCAACGACCTTCTGAAAGTGAATAAGGTGCCGACGTAAGCCGTCTGGCCAAAGCACTAGGCAATCTTGACTGATACTGTATCATAGTGTGATTACCTGAAGTGTTGCGTCCACGTGGAGCAGCGCGCAACGGTTGTCGTTTCGTATCCACTAGTTCTTTATGTTTTGCGGCTGGTTTAATTTGAGTGTCGTCTCGTTGTGGAGGCATTTTGACTTCGTATAAATGTTCCTTTAGTGCGAAAGACTCGCCTCTGTGTTCGCTAGTGGACGGCTGGTGATGTGCTTTAAGCATTTATTTTGTTGCCATAACCACACTATGTATTGCAATAATATTTTATCTAAAATATACAAACGCGTTAGTGTCGCCCTAAGGATTACGTATAAATTCCGAGTGGATTTCGGTATTGTTAGTTAAGATTTTAAATCTGTGAATCTCATAGTATTTATTGCTACCACTTACTCTAATTCATTACGTTATATTTTTTTTACTATTAGATTATTATTATTATATTATGTACATTTTGATGTATATTTTATTATTTGTCTGCTGTTAGCGGACCAGTTATGTTTTGAAGGGTCACATTTTTTATGATTGTAAAGTTTGTTGTATTATTGTCCGTTGATTTCGAAAGAGTTGCTTTATTATTTTCATCAGTGATTTCCTTCCGACGTTAATTTCATAAATTGTTGATTCGCTTTACACATTTTAGTTTTAATTATAATTTTTTTTTGTATCGAAACATACATGAATGAGACATTACATAATTATTCCATAAGAACGTTAAATGTATATTTGTAACAAAAATACGTATCGAAGTACAATCGCTGATAAGTCTACGTTTTAAACAAATCTTAATTTTGTATTTCTGTCTTCAGAACAAATGGTAAATATTTAAAATTACTCGATATTTTTTGATATCAATTCTAGATTAATAGCACCATGTCCAGTTATACATATAATGATCGAAAAACTGCAAATGGATTTGAACATATTTGATGCATTTTGTGCAAAACGTGAACGGTGCGTCGTTCAAAAGTTCTTAAAACATCCGATGTTCAAAAATTATATACGTAACAATACATATAATAAACAATAATGTGACTAAATTTTAAATTTTACAAGTAATTTTAAACATTGAGTAGTTTAAGTGTAATATACATTATAGGTAATATAAAATGGACTTTGTATGAAGTATTTCCTAAGAAATTAGTTACACTTTGTGTACCTTCGAATAGTTTTAACTTGATCATTTGCTTGTATCACCTCTATCGTTTCAATGCTTCGAATCTTATAGCTTTATGAGACAAATTCTAAGAATAAACAAATGCTTATTTATAATATTCTTTCTTATATTGTAAGTGCTACAAATTAAAACTTTAACCTGTTGTCATCAAAATATGTTTCTTAATTTCAAGTCGATGCCGCTCACACGACATTTCTTTTCACTTTACAGAATCGATTGGTAAACGCGTCTGGAATTTCAATTCGCTTTCAATGCAATGTTGTGCCAAAATATGTTTAAAAATAATAATTTAGCATTATAAATGAAAATTATAATTTATAAACACTGGTATTAATAGTATTGCGTCAGACTAAAGCAGTTCTTTGTGCAAGGTATTTTCTTTTATACGTAATTTCTAAACAAAAAAAATTAGTATTCTAATATTAGTGTTGATAGTCACCCATTATACGTAAATTAATGTCAGGGTAGAGTAATTGGAAAATTAATTAAAACTCGTATATAAAATTGGAAACTTCGCTTGATTTTTAATAAGACAATCGCAATAGACTTTCTGTCCATTATTTTACTCGCGTCATACAAAACTAGCATCGTAATGTTTATAAAAGTTAATGTCGGGATATCATAAGAGAGTGAATAGATTTAAGAGTGACAATTTTTTATTGTTGTCATCAAAGTAAACAAATTCTTTACATTAATAATCCATAAAGGTCCAGTCATGAAGCGAGAGAGTGAAAGTATGAGTATAAATTTATAAGCGTGCTTAATATTTCATCGGCAGTTAATCAAATCTTTGAAATAGTTTTCATCGCTAACTCATTCAAACACGAAAATTTTACATATTATAATTTTTTGTAATACACAATTTTTATTCTATCAACAACACATTTCTCAATTCTCTTTGATTGGAATGAAAAAATAAAATTAAAAATATATTATGTTTATTTATGATGATACGGTGTCACGTAACTTTACATTGAATGTATCGGCTACCGTCTGGTATGTGCAATAATAAATTAGATGTCTTCATAAAGAAAATCTACATAATGGTCGTAGAATGCTTACGGAATAAGGTTGTCTCTAGTAATAAATTATTAATCCCATCTTAATTTTTAAATACGAATCGAGAATAAAGATAATCGAACAAAATGTACTTAAGTAATCGGTGTAAGTAGACTTTATAAATTATAATGCGTAGGTAATAAATAAACGTAGAGAAAAGTTAAGCGTGTTAAATCCGATAAAGTATTTGTTTGGAAACGCTTAATTAGTATTGTTCGTGATTATTGTCTATGGGAAAATGAATTGAAGATGTTCATGAAATTAGAACACACACACTCTATTGCATTAAGGTGTAATGTTAAAATTTATGTGTGTATACGAAATTTAATTGTTATTTGAATTCAATTAATTAATTTCGTTTTAATGTTTTGTTATCGACGACATTTTTTTAATATGGGTCTGTGCAAATCAAATATGATTTTCATTGTTGAATTTATTTTTTTCTTGTTTAATTTGTAAACGATTTTTCTTTATTGTTTGTAGTTCAGCGTAAGCACACCTATTGATTTATGTCATGTTTTCATAATTATTCCCCTGTCTGTAACAACCATAGATAAATCAAATGAAACAATGAGCAATTTGCTAAATATATTATAAACATTTTCCATTTTGCAACGCTGTCTTGCCATATTGCTAGTATTTTGTAGACTAAAGGTACTAAACACCTAAATATTCATCCATATTTATTCAATAATCATGATTTTTTTTTATATTAAACACTAAATAGTAATAATTATCCGTCAAATATTGCCATATAAGTTTGTTTATATTCATTGATTAATCAAAAACCTGGCCATTATTTTAATGTGCTAACATTATGCATATAAGACTTCAGTTCTTTTAGGTTACGTCGTTAAAAAAAAAACGATCAATTTTTATCTTAATATAAATGTAGCTATTGTATGTATGTACGTATATCTATATTTTTGAAGATAGAAATTAAATTGTCTTTAAATAAGCAACTGTAAATAGTCGTGGAAAATTTATGTGGCGCATTATTTTGTTTATATTATTTTTTTTGTTTTCACGTTATGTATTTATGTATCGAGATGTCGTATTACGGTAAACGTGACGTGTATTGGACACTTTTTAATACATATATTTTAGCTTTGGTTTTACAAAGTAAATCAATGTTACAAATCAAATAATTTTAAAAAATATTTTTATTCAATTTCTTTTTAATCTGTACCTTTCAAGCTGTTTGTGCAATGTGTCCATGGTATCGATCGCGTTACCGTATTCGGCTAATGTGACTGTGTCGTGGTAAAGTTAAGCAAAATAGTTGGGTGATTGTATATGAAGCCCGCATTCAATATTGTAATATTAATTTTGACAATTCAAGAGAATAAAGAGTTAATAATACTAAGGCTATTATAGTTATTTTTTATTGTCTACCCTGCTTATTATAATTAAATATACAATTTCATAGTATACAGTATGTTTTGAAATTGTACATTTAATTATTAGATATTATTCCGTCTTATATTAAATAAGTTTTACATATAATTTGGTCACAAAATCCACGGTCCTTCCTTTTGCACTGGAGTGGTAACTATCGATATAAAAAAAAATACTAAAAAGGATTTAAACTTTGTGATTCTCAGCATTCCATCCTAATGACATGTTATCCTAATCTGTTCTAGAAATAAAATAAAGATTTACTTAAACTTCAACAAAGGGTCGTAGTTTAAAAAAAATGAAATAAACTCCTTCATTTCAATTTCCCTCATTTAATCAATTTCAACACAAACAATGAAATATTTAATGCTGCATTAAAACTTTACTAACGTAAAAATTTGAATGATTTTATCTATTAGTTTGTTATAATACAGTACAATTCAAGTGCTTCGTAGCTTTTACTTCCTGCGCAATACTGAATGCTCTGATGAATGATAAGAGGGTGAGTTTGTGTACGTGATAAGATTGTAAGCGGTTAATAACTAATTTATACTCTTAGCATATATATTCTAATGAATCGTTTGTTTGCAAGATGAGACATCGACATCGTCTTCTAAGTTATCCTTTACTTTTAAAATACAATAATAAACTGAATACTGATTCAACTTAATTTTCATTTATTAACAACGATAAATTATTATTTATTATTAGAGCGTGGGTGGGCTCAGTGGTTTCAGCACTTGGCTTGTAATCTGCACGGTCCTGGGTTCGAATCCCGCCATGTACCAATGTGTTTTTCGATTTCCGATTTACATATCTACATTTATCCGACGTTCTTACGGTGAAGGAAAACATCGTGATGCAAACTGCACATATCTGAGAAGAAATTCAAAGACGAAATTCGGTGGGGACGTATAGTGAGCTGATGATGATGATGATGAAAATTAAATATTATAATATACACAAGACTTCAAAACATGAGCTTATTTGTTTAATAAATTTAAAGCAGTCATCGATTGATTTTATAGATTAGTCTCAAGAACAGCATAACTTAAATAAGAGAAAAGACTCAATAGTAAAGAATAAATAAACAGTCTTAATTTATTTATACATTATTCTTGCAAAAAAAGATACATTGCCGAAAGCAAAGAAATTTTAGTGACAGAAATCTTCAAGAAAAAAGAGGCGAAAAATGTTGACAGGGTATGAGGTAAGAGACATTAATATACCATTGTAAAGGTTAGCATCATAGCTATATAATATTATATGTTGAGATATAATATTATGAGAATCTATTTTGTTTTTAAAAAAATATGTTAATGGGCATTCATTAATTAAAATTAAATTTATTTTTATGTATATAATGTTTTAATGACACTTAAAATTGACATCTTTATGTCGACTAATTAAATTTGAATCGAGGACAATTTACTTTTCCATGAAATAATTACTCACAACCTTATGCTGGGTATTGAAAGCACGAAGTAAGACTAATATATGCTACCGTGTCAAATAAATCTAATTCTATTGTTTTTCTAGTATATAGAGTTTTAAAAGATAAAGAGACTCGTGTCGAAGAAGTTAATAATAAGGCTTTAAATATCAAATCTTATAATTTATATAATAGCCATCTACGGCCACTGGAAAACATATCAAAGTGCCGTTATATCCTATTTCCATATTATAAAACAACTAACTCTATTATTATATCAAATATATAAAAAAAACTAAGTCGCAATATAAATCAGCATCTAATTTTTACACTTTAGTACCAACTTTTTTCAATATTTACGAAAAGTGGCATCACACTTGACTCCTGATAAGCATATTTTTTACATGAGCTACATGCCCGAACATATTTAAAATAATATTAATTCCCACCGTGACTAACGACCTCACTGTCGGCAAGTCATTCTTATTGCGTTCACTGTCTCATATATCATGATAAAAAAGAAAAAGCCATTGCCCCTAATAGTTAAATGTCCCTAAATACCAATAACGTTTGTCGGATCCCCGCCAAAAACAAACCATGAGTTATATTCAAAAAATAATGTATTCTGCCATTCCGCCATTTTCCATTCTCCACAGACACTGGCGCTGTCTAATAAATTTCACTCGTACGGAATTCACAATAGGAAGTCTTATACGACATTAAACTGAAAATCGCTCAGCAAACCTGCTCGCCCTTAAAGCAAAATGTATACGAAACGATCGAACGCCCCAAGCGGTTTTGCACTTAAATCTATAAACAATTTTTTGTTTCGACCTTTCGTCTAATACTTTTTGGCTTATATTTTTTGTTGATAGTTTTTTTGAGTATCCCCCATCGTTTGACATTACCTTTATGGCGCCTGATATCTCACAGAGTTATCGAATGGCCGTTATAAGTTGTTAATATTTATTTTAGAGGCAAAACAAATTCAATTAAAAGTCAGTAGTTTCTAGTTTCATTCTCATTTCTTATATTGAAGTAGCACAAGTTTTACTTATACCTAGTAAATTTCCATTACTCAAGACCACCTAGTATTTATAGCTCATAAAATGCACGAGTGGTGATTCACATTGATCGTCTTAAAGTGTAAAGCGCATACATTTTACCTGTATACATATTTTGCTAATTTAGTACTATTGTTGTCCAGACAGTCTTATGATTTAGTGGTCAGACATTTAATTTTTCATTTTGCTTCTCCCGTTTCCTAACTACATAGTAAACGTACTTAAGTACCTACAAATATTGTAAAATGTTGAATCGTCAGTCTTACATGTTCAGAATCTCCATACGTAAGTAAAATTATGTTTATGAAGGGTCCAATATACCTACCTACATACTAAAAAGAAAACATTTGGTACCCATAGTCTAGAGTACATAGCGGGGTAATCCCATAGCGAAAAAAGCTTCAAAAGCCTTTTGGAAATAGCAAAATATGACAGAAACAAGAATCGTTTACTGTACGTAAAGTTTAATCATTTTGCCCTTAAAAGATACAAAACTTCAATGTCATATACTTCTCTACAATAAAATTTGAATTTTCATTTCACAAAAGTTTGTTAATTTATATCTACAGTAAAAATCCCATTTGCGTGTCAACTATTAAGCGGCGATGCATTGTTCCAATGCCATAGCCCGAGCCAATTTCATGGTCTGACGCTCCCGCCCTGCACTCGAATGCCTTAATACGTAACAAACATTTTCCAAAGTCTATTCCTATTGCTATTGTTAGGAGATACTTATTATTACTTAAGAGATAGAGTTCCTTTGAAATAACAGAGTACGTAATTAAAGCCTTTTCAATTATTTGATAGATAAGTCACTTCAAACAAATGGTAATGACTGCTCTTCCTTAAAGCAATACTATTCGGTTAAGGTACTCCGCTCTACCTCATACCATTTCCTCAGAATGTAGTTCCAAGATAATTTAATCGTTTCTTGTAGATAATTACATCACCTCTACATAATTTTAGTAGTTAGTTTCAATAATTGAAATGGAAAATAGTTAAAACCTTTATTAAGCTTAAAAGTAATATTCTGGTAAAAGAATATAATACGTAATTGAATCCGTCTGAATTGAACATGGCGACTGCAAACCGCTCGCAAACTATCCCGGATACGATAGAAAACTCCATCCTTTTATTTTATTTCGGTTTTGTTTTTATTCTTTCGAGGAAATTGTTTCGTTTCTCTATGTAAAGTTTTGATTGGGAATTGAGAAACGACGAATTTTATGTACACCTACAAATATATATATTCAAATCCTCTAGCTATTGTATCGTACCCATGGCATTACAAAACCTGCCCGTACTAGGACTTACTTTTAACATCATATAACTAATATATAAGGTGTACCAATTTTCATTTATATAAAATACGTGAATATTTTTGAATGACTTAGGAGTAGAATCGGAAATATCAAATATATAAAGATATTAAGTACATAACATAATATATTTTATATAGATAATGTATG